ATCTGTTCACTCCATGACTCTGTCACATTTGGTAATTCTCCATATTTCAAACGTTTTCATTTTTATTATACTGCATTGCTACAATCTCATGATCAAACTTGAACCAGTGAGGAGCTGCTTCTTAGGGATGAGCAAAGAAAGCGGTTTCTTGAGACGGCATCTACTCCTGGTGCGGATGCTAGGAACATGGCTCATATGACGACAAAGGATTTGGAATATTTCATAAACTTAGTTGATAAACAGCAGCAGGGTTTGAGAGAAATCAACTCCATTTTGAAAGAAGTTCTACTGTGGGTAAAATGCTATCAAATAGCATCACATGCTGCAGAGAAATTGTTCATGAAAGGAAGAGTCAACCAATGTGGCAAACTTCACTGTTGTCTTTTTTTAAGAAATTGCCCCAGCCGCCCCAGCCTTCAGCAACCACCACCCTGATCAGTCAGCAGCCATCAACACTAAGGCAAGACCCTCCCAGGAAAAAGACTGCCACTTGCTGAAAGCTCAGATGATAGTGAGCACTTTTTTTTTTTTAGCTATAAAGTATTTTTCAATTATGGCATGTACCTTTTTAGACATAATGCTATTGCACATTTAACAGACTACAATTTATGGTAAACAGTTTTTATATGCAGAGGGAAACAAAAGAATTCACTTGACTTACTTTATTGTGACATTCGCTTTACTGCAGTGGTCTGGAACCAAACCTGCAATATCTCCAAGGTACGTCTGTTTATAGAGGAAGAGATTTATGTTAAGTAATCAGCTCATGTAATCATGGGGCTGGCAAATCCAAAATCTGCAAGGGTGGGCCGACAGGCCCAAGACTCAGAGAACAGCTGATACTTCAAGTCCAAAGGCCATCTGCTACAGACTTCTCTGTGGGGGGCACCTGGGTGGCTCAGTCAGTTGAGCATCCAACTCTTGGTTTCGGGTCAGGCAGGTCATGATCTCAGGGTCGAGAGATCAAGCCCCATGCCAAGCTCCGTGCTCATCAGGGAGTCTGCTTGAGATTCTCTCACTCTCCCTCTACCCCTCCTCCCACTCACTTGCTCTTTCAGATAAATAAATCTTTAGAAAAAGAATTCTCTCTTGTTCGGAGGATGTCACTCTTTTGCTCCATTCAGGCCTTCAACTGACTGTATGAGGCCCACCCACATTATGGAGGGCAATCTGCTTTACTCAGATCCCACCGGTTTAAATGTCTCATCCAATAAAAGCCCTCACAGAAACATTCAGAATAATATTTGACCACACACCTGGGCACCGTGTGACCCAGCTAAGTTGACACGTAAAATTAACTATCACGTGCACTGAAGTTTTCGGAGAACTATCAGCAGAACTGAATTTGGCAAGATTCAGTTGGGAGGCGGTGGGGACAGGTGGGGGAAGGGCACTAGAAGGCAGGAATACCAATAGAAGGCCATTTCAATCATCCAGGTCAGACGTCAGGGCTTCTACCAGAGAGGTGGAAATGGGAAATGAGTCATTTAATTAGCATTTGTTAAAAGAAAGTATGAAAGGATTCTGTGACTTGACACAACACACAAAACACAATTACACCTTCATGGGAAGCTACGATTTCCTCATAGGTCTCCAACACAATATAAAGGACAGGAAGTTTTTCCACACGCCGTAAAGGGAGGGAAGTGACCCAGCAGAGAGAAACAGGGTTGACTGCATTTCCCTACTCTGAGGCGGCCTTGGCCTGCTCTGTGGGTCACACCTGCCCACCTCTAACTCCGTCCAACCCAGAGCCTTACTAGAAGATAGGTAAACCACAGCCCAGACGTGGCACAGTTAGCTGCCTCCCAATATCTACCCTCCCCTCCCCATCCTTAGAAACAACCCTGCTAGTCAAAAACCTCTAAGCCAAGCCAGGTGTGCAGCTACCCACGACTGTGTGACCAGGTTCCAGCAATGAAATGGAAGCAGGGTGTTGTCTAAGAATTCCGAGTAGACTCTTTAAAACAGAAGGGGAATACGTCCCTTGCCCATTCCTCTTTTATCCCTTTTGTTCCGAAATGCAGATGTGACAGCTGGAGCTCCTGGAGCTATCTTGGACCATGAGGTGGATTTGAGCTGGAACTCATAGGACTGAGCAATACTTATGGGTCACTGGGTCTCAGATGACCATGGAGTCACAGCACCAGACTACACTAGACTGCCTACTTCAAGTCTTCTTCCAGGTGAGAGAACGTATCCTAGCATGTGCAGGCCATTGTTTTTGAGTCCTTGGTTGCTTGCAACCAAATGCAATTCCTGGTTGTTATAAGAAGAGGCCATTATTCTGTGCATAAGGCAATGTAAATTTCATGATTTCAGGCTGTAGAACTTAGGTGCTGGGATGAGGCCAGACAGAAGATGAATGGACAGAAACTCAATACAGTGCCTTCCTCTTATGATTTCCTTCCAACTGCTCTTTAAGAACCCACTACAGATACCTTCAACCACCTTGGTTGAGTGCTCAGGTCAGTGTAAAAAGAGACCTCCCCGTGTCCTCTGTGTAAAGTGAATCTTCACTTAGTTGGCCTGACTCTGAGATCAAGAGACTTAAATTCAAAGAATGAGAGAACCTTAGGAGATTGATGCACCATGACTTTTAGAAATAAAAAAGGCCCAGCATCTTCTCTGCACTATGGTGCTTTGCCAAAGGGCTGGGGAAGGCACTTGAGGCTGGTAACGAACTAATAAACAAATGGTATCCTCGGTGTACTTCCATTTAACCCACTTCTTCAAAGTGAGGCTTCCTAAACAAAGCTGATCATTGCCCTAAGTGCAGCAAAGAGGCACTCTTTCCCCTGGGAGAACGTAAGCTCCCTGGTGCCTGGCAAAGTCTGCAACTGAAAACTAAACAAACATGAGTAAATGATCAAAGTAACTAATAAAGACACTCAAGAATGGGGGGAAGAGAAGAAGTTCGAGGGAGGCAGACACCAGGTGGTGCCTGGATAAGTCAGGGCAAAGAGTGGCTGAGGGACCCACATTCCGGAAGATCCTTCAAAAGAGACCTAGTTCATGTGGCCTGTCCATGGAGCCGTTCAGAGTTCTGTCTGGAGCCGACCAGTTCTTAGCCATCAAGATGGTAAGGTCGAGGGGGGCAGTGTTCATAGACTCAGCCACTTTTCTCAGAAACCCCATTTCAGCACCTGGGTGCCTCAGTCGGTTGAGCATCTGACTCTTGGTTTAGGCTCAGGTCATGATCTCGGGGTCGTGAGATCGAGCCTGGCGTCGGGCTCCACACTTGGCACGAGTCTGCTTGAGATTCTTTCCCTCTTCTTCTCCCCCCCCCCTCTGCTCCTCCCCAGCTTGCGCTCTTTCTAAAATAAATAAATAAAATATTTAAAAAAAAAGAAACTCCATTTCTTCCTGGAAACACTAGGCTTAGGAGTATAGAACTATAGTGTGAGATGCTGACACTCAGTTGTACTGAATACTCCTACATATTCATTCACTTGTACCTGCCCAAGGCTGCAGGCTAAGGAACAGAACAGCGCAGCGGGACCAGAATCCTTCCCTCCACAACACAGGCTATAAATTCAGGAACCTGAAAGGGGGTGGCTGACTCCAAAACAACTTTATCCATCTGTCTGATGACTCAACACAGCTCCCCTCCTTTGTAGGGCTGCTAGATTTAGCAAATAAAAATAAAGGACTCCCAATTAAGTTTGATTTTCAGGTGCATGACAATTTTTTTAGTTTTACCTAAGTCCCAAATATCACAGAAGAGATATCCTTAAAAAAAAAAAAAGTGATCGGAAATTCAAATTTCACTGAACATCCTGTATTCCATCTGCTGCCCCTACCTCTGCTTTACACCCCACAAGGACATCCCACCACACACACATGAACACCCTGGCTACCACCTGAACTTCCCCGCACTTCCCTCACGGGGATGGATGTGTCCCTTCACACACCTGTCGAGAAGCTCCTACTGGGCCACAAACACTGAGCTGGGAATCCGTGCTCCACAACGGGAAGCAGATTATCCCAAGACAGTGGAAGGTTTCTAAAGCAGAGCTACTCAAAGGTCCAGAGTCCGTAAATACTTAAGCCTTATCACACATCTACTTAGTGTGAATAAAGCCATCCGATTCTTCAGGGTAGATGTTCACAGAGGGAAAGGGGGAGAATATGAAGTCACCCTGGGAGGGCAGGGGAGGGGGAAATGGAAGAGAAAAGAAGGAAAGCAGAGTGGGCAGAGGATGGATCCCCAAGATGAGGAAAGGGAACAGAGAGGTAAGCCAAAAGTGCTCAAGAGAAACATCATCATCTGTCCGGGACCAAACCTGGTTACCTGACAGCATAAAAAGGCCTACCCGTGTTGACAACACTCATGGCAAAAATACATCCCATACTCGAATCTTCTGCAGCTGAGAAATCAGTCACCCTGCCACCCCTTCCAGGGAACATGGCTGGTTTACCGAGGTGGAAGGAAGGGACGATTCTTAACGCAATCATTTTATTGAAGACGGAAGGAGAGAAGAGACATATCCAAGGAGCCGCATGATTTCAAATACAATACAAAACTTCACATCCCCCACTAACCGCCAAACTGCGGTGACAAAGCACCTCTGTCGGCTTCAGGCAGCATGTTGCCCACCAAGAGGCACTTACTGGGCATCAAAGGCAAAGGGGACAAGGGACAGGGAACCGCCCCTGACAAAACCCCCAACTTACAAGGTCATGCGGGGGTAATACCTCCAGCTTCATACTGCTTGGCTGACACCCTATTGCAACCAGTCCCCCACAGCTGGCCAGGCAGGAAAGGGTCAAAGCAAGTGGCCCATTGCACTACACGAAGAGAAAACCTCAAGATCAGCAACACTCCAGCTCCAGCCCCAGCAGAGGATGCCTACTGCAGAGCCAGCCAAGCAGGAGGTGCAGAGGCTCCCGCGAGGTCAGCCCTTCCGACTTACGCCTCAAAACCTCCCCCATGTCAGGAGCCTTTGACCTGGGTCAGAAGCTGCCACAAACTGTCGCCCCCGCCGGCCCCCACTGACCCCATCTTGATCAAGCATCTAAGCTTCCAAACTGCAGCTGCTTCTTTGCCAGGACCTCCAAGCAAGACTGCAAGGCAGGATACAGTCTTACAGGCAAGGGGGAGTTAATAGTCCATTCCCCTCCGCTGCTGTAAATCAGCAGGGGCTCTGCTCTGAGACATCACTCACCGCCTGCCCTTACCGTGGGCAGCAGGGATGACGCACTTCCCAGGAACCGGCCTAGGGCCGCCCCGTGGGAACACGATCAGGGCCACAGGGAAGGACATCACTGACCCAGACCTCCTCACCCGAGTCCCACGTGAGCGCTGCCACCCAGGCAGGCCAGTGGCCCAGCGGAAATGACAGTGACCGGGAAGAAGGGAGGCACGATGAAGCTGCGCTCGAGTCCCAGGAGAACTAGGAGGGCGTGCCACGAGGGGAAGGAGTTTCAAAGGGCCCCAGACTGCCTGGAACCAGAGCCTCACAGTTACCCCAGGGCAGAAAAGGCAGGGGAACAACTGTACAGACGAGCTCAACTTCTTCCTTTGAGCCCTCCATGTCTGTTATTGCTCCAACCTGCCCCCTAAGCTGCGTCAGTGTGCCGTTCAGGCTTTCCGGTAGTCACGAAATGCCCTGGGAGGGCCAAGCACTGGGCGGCAGCCAGAACCAGGCAGACGCGTGGGTTCAAATCTCCGCTCCTCTCCTCACCAGGTGGGTGATGTGGGGTGCCGCTTCCCCTCCCCGAGCCTCACTCAGTACCCCCTCCGTCTGACCACGACAGTAATGCCACCTTCAAGTCTGCTGAGCGGACACAGAGAACATACATAAGGGACCTACGACTCCACAGACCTGGGGACCTAGTAGATCCTCGATACGAAAGGACACAGAGGGCCCCTTGAATAACTCAACTTCTCTACCTCACCTTCCAGCCCTGCATAACTTAAAAAAGTCCCTCCCTCCTATACGTGAAGCATTTAGAAAAGTGCCTGGTATACAAAGACTGCTCCAATTCCTCTCCTCTCCCTCTTTCCCTCCAGCCTGAATCTCTGACTCCATTCTCTCCATACACGCGCTCCCATATTGACTCCACACCTCCATATTGACTCCCAGCTCCCCACCTCCAACCGCCCCGTGTCCTCGCCTGTGACATTCCTACTGCCGTGCCCCGTCACAGCTGTAACATTCAGGAGGGTGAGCTCACCGCCTTCTCCCAAAGCTGGGTCCCCACTGTCCACTTCCTACTGGCACTCAAGCCATTCAGGTCAAAACCCTGGAGTTCCCTGTGACTCATTCTTGACCGCTGGTTAACCACTAAGTCTGTTAAAGCTTCCCTTCACATTCTCTCAGATTAAGCCACGACACCAGAAGGGTTTATGCAAAGGCCCAAGTAATGGTCTTTGGGCTCCAAGACCAGTTTCCTCATCTGTACTATAGGGACAAACAGGAAAGATAAATGACAACCCCCCCACCCCCACAACAGTACATATGGTGCCTAACACATAGTTAGATCTCAAAAGATGGTGCAGCCATTAATGTAAGACAACATTTAGTATGTCTAATTTACTATCTCAAACAACGTAACTCCGCACACATAAGAGCCCACGGTGGCTTCTCTGCAGCTTCTCAACCCAGCCTGGAGGTACTCCCTCAGTTGGCCACCATCCTTCCCCATCTGGGCCTTCAGCTCCCATAGGCTCCCTTTCCATAGCCCTTGAGCTGACACACTTACCCCAGGTTATGCCCACACGGGCTTCTCTCCCTCAGATCTCGGCTCTTTCGTCATTCCTACCCAGACTCTCTCTTGCACTTTGGGGCTCCAGTGTGCCTTTCTGCCCAGACTTCCCCCACACTCCCACTCCCTAGAGTGACCTCACCCCACTGGCTTCTTCGACACGATATCTACACCTGGGCCATGGGGTTCAGTTCTCTAACAAATGAGCCTCTCCCTTGAGTGAGTACAAATGGTCCCCAGTATTCACGGATTCCACATTTGCAAATTTGCCTACTCGCTAAAACTTATTTGTAACCCCAAAATCAATATTTACAGCACTTGCAGGGTCTGGATGCACACAGGGTAGCAAAAACAGTTCGGTCACTCCACACGCACCTTCCCGGCTGCAGCCTAACAAGGAAGGCAACACTCAGCCTTCTTGTTGCGGCTCTCATGCTGTAAACAACTGTCCACCCCTGTCTACTCAGTGCCACATTTCTCACATTTTTGTGCTTTTTGTCGGATTCAGCTGTTTAAATTGGCCCCCAAGCCTAGTGCTGAAGTGCTGGCTAGTGTTCCTAAGTGCAAGAAGGCTACGATGTAGATGCCTTATGGAAAAAATATGTGTTTTACATACGCGTCATTCAGGCATGAGTCATGGTGCTGTTGGCCATGAGTTTAATGTTAATGAATCAACAATACAGTACACCCAGAAAAAGGAAGAGGAAATTTGCAGATCCCCACAAGAAGTTGCTCCAGTTAAGTGTTACAGTCAAGTCCATAGTGCATGAGGAAGCTACAGAAAAGTGGCTAATCTGTGGACCCCATTTGGTATCAAAGCATGGGAGATCATGACCAATTAAAAAAACATAGTGGGCAACACTGCGTGATGCTAAAAGCCAAGTAAATTTACGATCATGTCACCCAGGGTCAGGAAAATGTTCGAACCTCCTTGGCTAGTGTTTTATTATAAGGAAGTACTGTATATAATTAGTTACTTGTAAGAAATATATATTAAATAAGGTGTCTTTGTATTTTTTTTAAGATTTATTTGAGAGACAACATGCACACAGTGGGGCGAGAGAGAGAGAGTCTGAAGCAGGCTCCACGCTGGGAATGGAGCCTGACACGGGGCTTGATCTCACGACCCTGGGATCACGACCTGAGCTGAAATCAAGAATATGTCGCTTGGGGCGACTGGGTGGCTCAGATGGTTAAGTGTCTGCCTTCGGCTCAGGTCATGATCCCAGAGTCCTGGGATCGAGTCCCGCATCGGGCTCCCTGCTCACTGGGGAACCTGCTTCTCCCTCTCCCTCTGCCTGCTGCTCCCCCTGCTTGTACTTGCTCTCTAATAAAAAATAAAAAATCTTAAAAAAAAAAAAAAAAAAGACTGTCGCTTAACCGACTGAGCCACCCAGGTGCCCCTAAATAAGGTGTCTTTAAAGACATACATGAAAGAAGGTTATGTATGGATCAGTTGATGAAAATGTGACCAGAGGCTCTCAGGACCCTGACCCTCTATTTCCCCTAGGAGCAATGCCTCAATAGGATGCCTCTCTAATTCAGCATTGGTAGTGACTTTGGAAAACCTAACTATTGTGAATAATGACCAGGGACTGTAATAACCTATGCCTTAAAATCACCTTGCTTATATGTATTGACGAGGCTCCTGGAGGATACGGACCACATTTTATGCTCCACAGTGGCCAGCACACAAAGGGGAGATGCTGAGAAAATACTTCGAGAAACCCTTTTACTCGCCAATCCACTAGCCCACTGTAATCCATAGTCTCACTCTAGTTCTCAAATGGGTGGGGAACTCACACTTTAAGTCAGACCAAAAGATTCTACTTTTGCCCACAACACCCCACCCTACATACTTTTATGAGACTAAGAGTGGAATGAATACCAGCTCCACAGTTAGGCTCTTTGTTCTGTTCTGTTCCTAAAACAAGGGCCTGACCATCGACAGGAACCCAGTAAATATCTGTTGAGTAAAAGAAAATGATAAATTCAGAGGAAAAAAAATACCCGAACAAGAGAGTAATAACCCATCCCTGACATATCCTTGAGTTTATGTCCCCACTTTGTGAAACCCAGCCCTCTCCTTCTCCACTTATGGAGGGCCTTCTGCAAACAAAACCAATGTCTAGAATTTCCCAACAAAGAAAGACTACAATGCTCTGTTCCTCTACGGTTAACATAAGAATGAAAGGGATTATCTGATGCATTTGAGCTGTTTCATTTCATGGAAAATATAACTCTCCATTATTCAAGCCCCTCACCACATTGTCTGCCAGGGCTTACAGCACTTGCCATCAGTGAAAAAGTCAGTCAGATACTCCCCCTCATCACTTTTGATCCTCTGGCACACTTTACCCCCACAGGTGACTCAGTAGTTACCTGGGGTCACCCTCCAGTCCTCAAATTCTTGACATTTTACGTATCTCCTCTCAGCCAGCACAGGACTCTCTCTGCCATCCAGCCGTTTCTAGCGTGGTGGTCTTTTGTTAAGGCAGCAGATTCACCACAGAGACACAATATTTGATAGCAAAATACATCTGGAATAACAACTTAGATTCTTTTTCTTTGATCCAAATGCTTTACATGTACTAGTTCAATCCCTGTTAAGTTGCCTACATGGCTACAAGACTTTGCGGGTGCTTTGCGGTGGAGTTTTTTTTCCCCACCTCTTGAGTTTGAACGGACTTTCTCTACCCAACAGGACATTAACCAGTGGGATGTAGGCAGAGGCTTGAAAAGGGCTTGTCCTCTTTATTCCTGGAATCCCCATACCACATGAAGAAGCCCTCACTGGCCTGTTGGATGAGACGCATGTGGTCCAGTCACCCGGGGAAGCCTTAGCTGACCACCCACCAAGTGCCTGACAGATAAAGCCATCGGAGATCAGCCAGCCCCCAGGCAACCCACCAACTGATCACATATGCAGGACATCAGCCAAGCCTGAAATCAGAAAAACTGCCCAGCAAAATCATGAGCTAAATAAGTGTTTTAGGCCACTAAGTTTGGGGTGATTTGTGTCCCAGCAAAAGCTAACATACACGACTCCATTCTACAGATGAAGAAACTGAGGCACAGAGATTCAGTAACCCACCAAAGTCCCACAGTAAGTTGGGATTCAAAGCCAATAGGTCTGGCTCAGAGGCCTGGCTTTGCCAGTTGTCCTACAGCTAAGTCACTCCACAAGCTTTAAATGTCTTCCCACTCGCCTAACTTCCCCCAAAGGAGCTTACGTGTGGGGCACAGACTTACACAAAACAGGCAACCTCCAAACAACCCTCACTGTTTTGCATTTCTGTTGCTCTTCAGGTTTGCAAAGTCTTCTGACACACTGCAACTACGTAAAAACAATGAGCGTTGCCCATATGTATTCATCAATGGATGAAGGAACAAAATGTGGTGTATCCATACAACAGAATATTACTCAGTCTTAAAAAGGAATGGAATTCTAACACACGCTACAACATGGACGAACCCTGAAGATGTTAGGCAAAGAGAGAGAAGCCAGTCACAGAAGGACAAATCCTGCATGATT